TTCCATACTCAATATAAGGCTTTAGAAATAAACTAAGAATATAGAATAAACATATAAGTTATCGGTAGTATAAAAATATATATAAACAATATCTTCTATCAATACAAATAAAAAAATATATTTTCCACCAAAAACTTCCAAATTTATAAAAACAAAAAGTATTTCCTTTTAATAAACTTCCAAAAATAAAAAAATAACTATTTTCTATGAACTTATGAACCAGAAGACACAATGTATTCTCCCCTGACTCCTTTCATGGTCGTGTTTATTCCAAAGTGAAGTGTTAACTGATCTGGCTGATGGACAAGGAGGGTACTGAGGAATTGAAACCGAGTCATTACTGTAGAGGGTATAAGACGTATAGTTTAAAGTGAAGTGTATGTCGTGGTTGAGTGTATGTTAGTGGTTGAGTGTATGTTAGTGGGTGAGTGTATGTTAGTGGGTGAGTGTATGTTAGTGGGTGTGAGTGTATGCCGTGGATGTGAGTGTATGCCGTGGATGTGAGTGTATGCCGTGGATGTGAGTGTATGCCGCGGATGTGAGTGTATGCCGCGGATGTGAGTGTATGCCGCGGATGTGAGTGTATGCCGCGGATGTGAGTGTATGCCGCGGATGTGAGTGTATGCCGTTAGCTCACACTCTTTGCCGTGGATGAGAGCACAAATCTATGCCGTAGTTGAGAGTTTAAAGACAAAATCAAGAGTACAGACTCAAAAAAATAAAATAATTAATGTGTAAAACCAAAATTATCCCAGTGTTGAAAAAATTATTTGAGTACATTACCATTATTAATAATTAGTACAGAAACGAAATTATCACGTACATGTAAATCAATGTTGAAACAAAATTATCACCTTAAGTACAAAATTATTACATCCAACACGAAATTATCAAAGGGCAGACGCAAAATTATTCAAGATTTGCAAAAGTTATATGAGTCACAGTGAAGCGAGATAGAATTATTACAGCAAAGTTACATAATTATTACAGTAAATTATTGTGTCTTCAGGATACAGGGAGGTAAACGATTACAGCCTTGTCAGTTTTGAAATTATTGTTATTATTATTATTATTATTACAGCGAAAGGGGAAAAAATTAGCCATATTAAAGCGGAATTATTGGATGACATAATAGACGATGGATAATAAACAAGAACGAGATAATCGGAAAATTATCAGAAAAGAGACATAAACAGATAGGGATAAATAAAGGCGAGGAATAAAATGATAAATATAGGAGATAGAAGGAAAGAGACAACTAACGTGAGAGAAGAGAAATAAATGAATTAAACGAATGAAGAAATGAAAGAAATAAGGAAAGAAATTACATCAAGGAAATAAAGTTGTGGTTTGGATAAAAATGAAAGAATAATGATAATAAACAGGAAGAAATGATAAGTGAAAGAAGGAATGAAATAAACCAGAGAGAGTAAACGAAGGGAATGAAGTGAGTCTATGTAACTGAATGAAGGAATGAAGTGAGGAATAGAAATGAAATAAAGATGTCAAGAGGAATGAAGTCATGACACCATAATGAAACAATGACATCACAACGAAGGAAATAATAACACTGTGATAAACAAGTGACGTCAGAATGAACAAGTGACGTCAGAATGAACTAGTACACCACCAGAATGACGTCAGAATGAACTAGTACACCACCAGAATAAACTAGCACCACTAGAATAAACTCGTGACGTCAGAATGCACCCACATGACATCATAACCTAACTATGACATCACCAACCAAAGCAAGATTATCAACTTAAAAGAAATACGCTAAGTTACAGTATACTTAACATGTGAAAATTATTATACAGGTGCGAACACGATTTACCTGAACACACACACACACAAGGTATACTAATTAAAGACGAGGTGTAAAGCGTGATATAAGTGTCCCAATTGAACGTGTATATTGAGGGAAAAAATGCGAAGGTTTTAAATTATTTCCCCTGCGCCGCGGTGGTGGTCATACACTCGTTATATTATCGAAAAAATAGTGGGATTTTTTTTTTATAAGAGTGGAAAAAATAGGGAATTATATAATGGTATAACATATAATATAATATACTATATATGAATGATTAGCTATATGGGGAGTTATTTTATATTAATTTATATATTGTATAAAAAAATAATTACCTAAGGATTTTATTCATAATATTATTCATCTATTTTTTTTTGTATTAATGAAGAAAATAAAATAAAATATCCCGAGAAAAATAAAAACAATGTAATTTAAGTTTTCTTTCTTGATCTATATAAAAAATATATAAATAAAGACAAAATATAACTTGAGGTAAAAACACACATTAGTTATGGTTTCTTATGGCTGGTCCCTACCAATCAGGAAGCCGTAAATTCCACATTATATATCTAGACCTTCTATTTCTTGCCTACGTAATGCGGGGGAGAGAATCATACAACGAGACAGAGAGACAGAGAGACAGAGAGAGAGAGACAGACAGACAGAGAGAGACAGAGAGACAGACAGACAGACAGAGAGATATTTTTTTTCTTTTAGCCTGCAGAATATCGCGTAAGAAGATGGAGAAGAAGAGGGATTAGATGAAGAAGAGGAAGAAGAAGAAATTAAGAATAAGAAAAAGAAGAAAATCCCGATTATCTTTTGATATTACAATATAGAACAAGAACAAGAAGATAAGGGAACACAACAGAACAGAACAGTTACGATAAGGAATTAACAACACTACCCGCCGTAGAAGACTCCCGCCGCAGAAGTACTCAAGGCATCGGTGAGGACTGCGAGACTTGGGATGCATAGCGTGTGTTTGCAACGTCCTGACACACACACACACACACACACACACACATTTACATATATGCCGTGTCTACCCGGCATAAAAATATCCCCGTGTTAAGATACAAACTTCACCGTGTATACCTAAAAATAACACACACACACATATATATATACATATATACCTTGATAAAATCACACGGGAAAATGGAAACAACGGAGTACCTTAGCTTTCGTCTTTATTCAAGACATCTTCAGAGGCAACTAGATTACATGGACAGAGAGAGGCTTAAATATACAGGGTGACCTAAAAACATGAGGTCAGGTCATAATGATGACATCCACTAATCCCCACACCAACACAACCGTAGAGGAGCTTAAGAGAAGGGTGGTGACGTGACTAGACAGGTCAGGTCAGAAAAAAGGGACCCACAAAATAACTGTCATACATCAAGATCAAAGGTTTTCAAAGCAGTTTTAACCTTGGGCCACTGACAAATAAATTTATGTAACATATTATCAGTTTTGAACTGACCATCACTAAGGTTTATTGATTTTAATTCCTTAATCAAACTAGCTTCAACCAGAAGTCTTTCTGTGACACAAGATGATTTGAATACTTCTAAGCTTTTTTCCCAAGCAATGGGGTGATTATTATTCCTAACATGAACGAACAAGGCACTGCTTTCAGATGCAGTTCTGATATTATACTTATGTTGTTTGATTCTGAGCTGCAGTGTTTTTCCTGTCTGACCTACATAATTACAATTACATTGGCTACATGGAATACAATAAACACTTCCATTTACATTCAAACTTGGGCTATTTCTTATTAACATATTGGTAATGGTTGAGTCATACTTGAAAACAACATTAATATTTAGAAGCTTGAGGGACCGAACTAAAGGGACAAATTCATCACGATAGGGCAGAGTCAAAATATTCTTAAGTGTAGGAACTTGTCTGGTTACAGAGGAATGAAAGGATTTTTAGCCCTTTTAAAGCAACGATCAACAAACACAGAAGGGTACCCAAGTTTCTGTGCAATAGAACGAATGTGTTTAAATTCGTCGTCAATAAATTCAGAGTCACAAATACGCAGACATCTTAGGAACATAGCAGAAAAAACTGACATTTTGGTAGACTCAAGGTGATTGGATAAAAAGTGAATGAAACTGTCTACCTGTGTGGGCTTTCTATATACCTTAAATTTATAGTTTTGGCCATTTCTCATGATAAGCATATCAAGAAATGGAAGGGATTCACTTATTTCTCTTTCAATTTTGAATGTGATACTAGGGACAATATTATTAAGCTTGTCTAAAAATTCCAAAGGGTCACTGTTTTTAGGCCAAAGACAAAGAACATCATCTACATATCTATACCAAGGAGGAATACAGTCCACTACATTGGGGAGTAATCTAGACTCAAAGAACTCCATACATACAGAGGTCTAGGTTAAGATTGAGATGTTATATGGATAGCTTAACTAAAGTACACGTTAGCATCACGTCTCCAATATCCCGGGCAGCGACGAACACAGAGTTACAGCTGTACTTTAGCTTTTCCTGTTTTGTTAATACACCGTCAGGAGGAATATAATGGTCGTCCCTCACCTAACCTAACCTAACCTAACCTAACTTAACCTAACCTAATCTAACAATAATCTCAGCTCCGCCGCTCACTCTGATGCATATGCCATATCAGATATCACAAGTCGGGAGAATTTACAATGGTTTAAAGAAAGAGACTGAGAGAGAGAGATAAAAAGAGGTAAAGAAAGAGAGAAGGAAGGAGATGAGACAAAAGAGAAAGAGAGAGAAAATCTACGTCTAAATTTATCTAACTTCGTCTTTATAGGATGAGTGTTACAGCCCCTCCATGTCTTCTTAAACTACGGTACTGATTTCTGCTTGTAATATATTATAATATAGGTATGACCGTCTGAGAGGAATTCCCTATATGTCCCGTCAGCTCAAACAACAAGATATTTTCCTACTGTTCTTTTTTTTTCTCTAATTAAATCAAATACTGATAAATATATACTGTTTATCCCCGTTTTCAATATCCATATGAATAAAATCCTAAAAAAAAAAAAAAAATACGCAATAATATGATTTTATTTAGGGAGAAAGATGGAGAGGGGAAAATATGAATATGTATCTATCTATATAAATTACTGAAGAAATAACAAATAATATATAAACTCCAAAGAAACAAAGAAACAAACACGTACAGAAGCTTCCAGGCGTATACGAGCAACATCCAGCTTGAGCGGCCAACAATGACAGTCCCTTTCTCAGCTTGAACAGTCACCAGTTAACTCCAGCAGTCAGTAACCTCCTCCTCCAGCAATCAACAGTCACCAATCCTCAGTCAGTTCCCTCTTGTTTCACCAGTTACGAATGGCCTCCAGGTTTACCAGTCACAATGGCCTCCAGGTTTACCAGTCACAATGGCCTCCAGGTTTACCAGTCACAATGGCCTCCACTGTTAGTAGTCACAGTGGCCACAAGCTTCAACAGTTTACTTCGGTTCTTTCGGTTTAACAGTCACAACGGTCAACAGTTTCAACAGTCTCTCCAACGCCAACAGACAAAGTGACCTCAAGTTCCGTTGCGGAATACTGGCTGGCTTCAAGGACTTGTGCGTGTGTGTGGCAGGAGCGACACCCAAGGCCCACGAACACCGACCATCTCAAGAGGTTTTCAGAACGTGGAACAACACCTCGTTAACGTCACCAGCGCGGAGATCCAAGTCACACTGGAGGTCGACCTCAACCCTCACACTGGAGGTCGACCTCAACCCTCACACTGGAGGGCGACCTCAACCCTCACACGACACGAGAGAGTAACATCAGTCTCATGAAGGATCAGCTTTGTTAATGGTGATTTTCATTTTATTTTTTGTATTACTATTATTATTGCAAGAGGTATCGTAGGTTAGGTATTGTTTGTTTGGTAAAATAAGAACAATGACGTATTGTTTCTGGTCAACAGCGTCACGAGGCTCATGACACCACGGCACAAACTACCAGTACAGAGAGACGAGATCGATGGTACACAAACACTCGTCAAGTCCAGCGAGGATTGTTGACAATATGCAGAGAAATGTTTAGAAAATTCTCGACGGTGACGCAGCTGGAGTGATGCACAGTCACGAGACGTTACCAAAGGGTTAAGGGGGTGGGCGGGCTGGGCTCCCGACCAACACTGATACGAGGACGTGTGTCAGGACATTTATGGGCGTGGATGGGCGGGTTGGTGGTCATCACTGGACATGTCTTGCGGCGCGGCGGACACCAGGCCTACGCTGCCGTCTCCGCCATCACCTGCCTCCCTCACTATACAAAATGGCCGACGCGGGGTTGCCGAACGTAGCCCAGGCCAACCGATCCTCTCCACTTGTTTAATTTCCAAAAATTACTACCAATTAACAAGCAGAGTCTGGCAGAACCAATGAGAGCTCACTAGGGGGTGTTACGGACCTGCGCAATAACCACTGCGCGCCGGCGCTACTTCCCCAAAAGACTGCTGACTTTCACGGCCCGCGTGGCCTCTCTACCTCACTGTACAACACCTAACCTGAAATAACAAACGAAACACATAAACAATGCTTACTGTCAGGCGAGTCGGTGAGGCGGTTGTGAGATGTATGACGCCAAGGCACTGGCCACCCGTGTGGCCACGTATGGTGTATGGACTACCACACGAGGCCATAGGCCGCAACACAGCCTAAATGCTGGCCACCGAAGATCACATATTCTGATCAGTCTTGACTTAAGCCACTGACACACACTGATCTGCAAGTGTCGCCGGCCAGACCTGGCAGGAGACAGCGTGGGTGGTAGCAACTGTGCAACACTGCAACACTCCCAAGGTTCCCGGCGCCTCCGCACGCCGGGGAGGCCCACACGCGAATGTCTCGTGAGGGACGCCGAGGCTCTCACGGCCCCGCGCCGGCCCGCGCACGCGCCCCGTCGAGTGGTGGACGCTACGCGCAGGCGCCCACTGGCTAGCTGGCCCGCAGGCCCCGCCTTCGCTCCGCCCCTGGCCCCGCCCCGTAGGGTGCTCGGCCAACCCCCGGTCGCCTGTCCTGAGGGTTGTGCCTGGGTGACCAGTGACGGGCAGCGGCCGGCCAGCTCTTGCAGGCCTTCGACACTGACCACCGCGGCCACAAGCACACGGTCGCCACCATGGCTGCCTACCGACATGACCCGCGGCCACCGCCAGGTCATAGGTGAATGACCTCTGAGGGCAACACTGCCAGCAACATGACTACCGACAGCAGGTCGATATTCTTCATTGAGTTAATCTAGTAACAACAGCTGCTAACAGATGGCGCGAACTGCCACTTCCCTCAATGATCTAAGTGCGTATGTTTATTCAGTCACCGCCTGGGCTGGGAACCACGTGTCTCTCCGCCCGGCGAGCGACACATCGCCGCCAGTGAACTCTGCAACAACAGCACCGTCCTCTATGTTGCTGACTGTGAACATTACCAGTGAAGATGTTAGCCGCTCTCCAAGGCTTAGTATTGCCAACACTGAGGACCACAGTGAGACGGTAACAGCGAGGTGTGGTGTGGTGGCTGAACACCTACACCTCCACCCGGTACCCTAGTCTCAGGTTCACTAAGATATAATACCAAAAGGTGTCACAGTGAAGAACTACAAAGTGAGGTTCTTACGTCATAGTAGAATAGAGTTAGTGACTGACCTGGGTGATTGAGAAGAACTGTGAAAGAGAGAGTTTTAAGACAATAAGTATTTAGGAGTTAATATTACATCTCTCAGAGCCAAATAACTCAACTATCCCATCAACGAAGGCGCTGATTAATGTGTCCTAAAATATTTTGAAATTGTATTATCTAAAAAAAAAAAGTCATTTATAACAAAAGATCATCAAAAGCCGAGGAATTATGTGCTTTTGTTAATGTAAAGAATTCAATATTACTCACAGGTTAACATATCAAGAGACACACTTTCCTTATATAACAACTGATAAGAAACCTGTATAGATAACGTCAAATAAAAGACAAATTGTTTAACTTTTTTTTTTGCACATTATTACATAAACAAAATCAATTGATCAAAATTATGTAATCAAAAACACTTTAGATTTTGTTACATTTTAAGAAGAAAAACAAAACCAAAACGACTCAGTAACATTAGGCAAAAAAATCACTTTATAAAATACAACAAAATCTTATCTAGTGATTTATTTTTTTTCAACAACTTACCAAAACAAAAAAACAACTAAATAACTTTCCATAGGTGTTAAAAAAAAAGATTAGAAGAGTTATTTACACAGGTGAGGGTCAAAGGTCATTCACCCCTAAGTTGATGAATTCAGACGAAGGTGAGGAGAATCGATGATGAATAAGGAGGACAAAAGCGAGCCAGGTCTCTCTCTCTCTCTCTCTCTCTCTCTCTCTCTCTCTCTCTCTCTCTCTCTCTCTCTCTCAAGTTCGTGAGGAAAATTTACTGTATTTGATATTTTGTTCGTAATTAAGAAGTGGTAATTGATATCTGTGGGCGTGGTTATGGTGTTAGTATGGGCGTGGTTATGGTGTTAGTATGGGCGTGGTTATGGTGTTAGTATGGGCGTGGTTATGGTGTTAGTATGGGCGTGGTTATGGTGTTAGTGTGGGCGTGGTTATGGTGTGAGTATGGGCGTGGTTATGGTGTTAGTGTGGGCGTGGTTATGGTGTTGAAGCCCATGGACGTGGTTATGAATTGTTAGATGTGGGCGTGGTTTATGGTGTTAGTATGAGCGTGGTTATGGTGTTGATATGGGCGTGGTTATGGTGTTAGTATGGGCGTCAATTTATGGTGTTAGTATGGGCGATAGTTGTAATTGTTAGTGTGGGCGATGGTTATGAGTTGTTAGATGTGGGCGTGGTTATGTTGTTAGTATGGGCGGTATTTTGGTGTTAGTATGGGCGTGGTTATGGTGTTAGTATGGGCGTGGTTATGGTGTTGAGTCATGGGCGTGGTTATGGTGTTGAGCCTGGGCGTGGTTGTAGTTGTTGAGTGTGGGCGTGGTTATGGTGTTGAGTATGGGCTGGTTATGGTGTTAATTATGGGCGTGGTTATGGTGTTAGTATGGGCGTGGTTATGAATTGTTGGTATGGGCGTGGTTATGGTGTTGGTGTGGGCATTAGTTATGGTGTTAGTGTGGACGTGGTTATGTTGTTGGTATGGGCGTGGTTATGGTGTTGGTATGAGCGTGGTTATGGTGTTGGTATGGGTGTGGTTGTAGTTGTTGGTATGGGCGTGGTTATGGTGTTGAGTATGGGCGTGGTTATGGTGTTGAATGTGGGCGTGGTTATGGTGTTAGTGGGCGTGGTTATGGTGTTAGTATGGGCGTGGTTATGTGGTGTGGGCGTGGTTATGGTGTTAGTATGGGCGTGGTTATGGTGTTAGTGTGGGCGTGGTTATGGTGTTAGTATGGGCGTGGTTATGGTGTTAGTATGAGCGTGGTTATGGTGTTAGTATGGGCGTGGTTATGGTGTTAGTGTGGGCGTGGTTATGGTGTTAGTATGGGCGTGGTTATGGTGTTAGAATGGGCGTGGTTACTATTTTACTCATCATAGACAACCCAATCACTCACTACACCCGGGGTCATGATAGACGTAGTTTATTTGTTACTAACGATAGAAGGAATGTAATAGCCGTAGTTAGGTATGTGCGAAACAAAAAATTAACATTACAGACATACTTACAATGTTAACAACTACGTGAGGTTGACGTAGGGCATAATAATGGACATGTATAACGACGGACATAGTGGACATAGTTAGAAGGGGGGGGGTTGTTAGTAAAGGGTTGTTATGACAGTTATTAATTAGTTGTTACTTGTAAAAATATAAGGGTTATTAAAATACCATTAATTCTTGGATTATGTTAATGATTATAGGAATTATATCTTGAAGTATAATTGAGTTGTTATGATTTATTGATGGTAGTTAGCTTGTTAATGTTATAATTGAACTGAAATTGGTGATTAGGATAGTTAGTTTGTTAATATAGTGATTTAAATTATCATAGGATTTAGTTAACGAAGATAGGATTTGTCTGTACTCAATGAGGGTAAACTATCGTACTCAATGGTGGTAAACTATCGTACTCAAGGGGTTAATATATCTTATCGAAAGGGTATACAAAAAACATAAAAATATACAATATACTGTATTATTTAAACTATATAAATAACAATACAATATGATACAATAAGTTAAGTAATCAATCAAGTAATCAAGAGTTAAGTAAAATAAACAAGTAAGCAATCAAGTAATTAATAGGTAGGTTAAATAAACAAGTAATTAAAACACCAATCAAGAGTTAAGTAAAAATAATTCAAGAGTTAAGACAGGTAAGTGACTTAATGAAGCCTTATACCTATATAGACTCTTTAAGGTGAACGAAAATTAAAGGAATTCCTCAAGAAGAATTTTAATTTTAAATTCTCCCGAAGTTCCCTGGTGTTATTGCCATTAATTTGCGTCTTCTTCCACTTATTTTCGTCCCTGTGTGTGTGTGTGTGTGTGTGTGTGTGCGTGTGTGTGTGTGTGTGTGTGTCATCTCAGGGTCACCAAAGACTCCCTAAATGACCCCAATCGAATCCCTCCAAATCCCCCTCATCCCCCACCTCTACCCGCCCTAAATATGGTAATAGTCCAGACCATCCTAGACCATCCTATACCATCGCAGACCATCCTAGACCATCCTAGACCATCCCAGACCATCCTAGACCACCCGAGACCATCTTAGACCATCCCAGACAATCCCAGACCATCCTAGACCGTCCTATACCATCCCAGACTATCCTAGACCATCCTATACCATCCCAGACCATCCTAGACCATCCTAGACCATCCTAGACCATCCTAGACCATCCCCAGGGAACTCTACACTTGAATTTTACATCTTTATCTACAAACAGAACCTTCCTATGTATGGTTGGTGAGGAGGGTTGTAGACAGGTGATTCGGTCTACAGTCGTCAACCAAATGGACGGTAACAAGAGGAACATCCCAACACTGTCTACAGAGTTGGATATATTGACAGATATCTTGCAACTGTTTAAAGGAATTAACGATGGAGATGAGGAAACATATGGGGTCACTGAAGACCTAACCACATAGCATTTTGTGCACCTGTAGATTAACCCAACCCTTAGTTTATTACACATAACAGATTAGTCCAACCCTTGGTTTATTACACCTGTAATAGCCCAACACCAGTTTTATTACACTGTAAATTAACCCAACCCTTAGTTTATTTCACCTGTAGATTAGCCCAACCCTTAATTTATTTCACCTGTAGATTAGCCCAACCCTTAGTTTATTTCACCTGTAGATTAGCTCCTAGTTTATTTCACCTGTAGATTAGCCCAACCCTTAGTTTATTTCACCTGTAGATTAGCTCCTAGTATATTTCACCTGTAGCATAATTACCTGAGGAACAATACC